TGGGGGCGGGGCCTGCAGGGCGGGGCCAGTCTTAAGGGTCAGCTTCTGGGACCAGCGGGGCCAGATGGTAGGGGTCAGCTCTAGGTGAGGGGCGGGGCTAACTTGGAGGGGCGTGGTCTATAGGATGTGCGTGGGGCGCTTGCGGGCCTGTCTGGGGACGCATCTATAAGTAGGGTCTGGGAGAGGGCAGTCATGGATGGTCAGGTTATGGGCAAGGTTAAGGATTCTACAGAAGAGGTGAGTCAAAGGAGGGGGTGGGATCGGGGGAAGAGCGGCCCGGCCAGCGAGGGGCGGGACTGGGAAGAAAAGGGACCAGCCTGAGGTGGCAAGATCTAATAAGGGAGGGGTGGGATCTGGGATCAGCGAAGGAACAGTCACTTGGGAAGAAATGGGGTGAGGTCTAGTGAGGAGGCAGGAACCCTGGCCAGTGTGGTTCGGTTGGAGTGTTTGTCCCATACACCAAAAGGTGGCAGTTTCAATTCCCAGTCAGGTTCCGAGTTCCATCCCCAGTGGGACATGTATAGAAGGCACATTTATGCCTCTCTCTTTCTCTGTCTACCCCCATTCTCTCTCTAAAATCAATAAAAAATAAAAATAGTGAGGAGCCAGGAGCCAGGAAGGCAGGGACAGGGACCGGGAAAGAGGGCTATCAGGTACTGAGGCACAGGGAGGCTGGGCAGGCTGAGCATGGGGTCTGGAGATCTGCGTAGAAGGACCCAGCCATTGGTGAAAGGAGTATGATAAAGGGAGGAGTCATTAGTGACAAGTGCGCTGTGGAGGGGTAGAGCCACTCAGCAAGTGGGTTTTAGGGCATGGCCAGCCAGTGAGGGTGCAGGACTAACCCGTGAGAGCCCAGGGAGGAGGCAGAAACTACCCTCTGCACTAAAGGGCCAGTGTCTAGAGAGGAAGCAGGTCCTGGCAATGGGTTTGGGCAGGGGCCTACTCAGCTGTAAGGTGTGGGAAGCAAGAATCCAGAAGCTGGGCCTGGGAGGGTGAAGGTCCAGCCGCTGAGGGGTCAGAGCTGGAGCCTGCAGGAGAGGTTGGGGCAGAAGCTGGAGCTGGCTGCGGCCTGGAGAGCGGCCTGCCTCCCAGGACATAGGAGGGGCCTGCTGGAGAGGACTTCTGGTAGCAAGGGCAGAATTGGAACTAGCGTAGTGTGCAGACTGAAAAGGAAAGGGGCCTATTCAGGGCTGGAGCCAGTGTGACCAAGGTGGGACTCACCAGAGGACTGGGCCACCTGAGTGGATGGAGCCTAAATCTCAACAGGTTCCCAGCTGTGAGGGCCGGTGGCTTTGTGACTAGATTACTATTGCATGCTGGGACTCATAGTTCTGTCCAGAGCATTCCTGCAAAGGCCTCTGTCCAACTTGCTTCTTCTGTTTGGCATGGAGTTGTCCAGAGATTTGTAGGCAGATCACCTTCGAGGTGAACTTACAACTTCCTGGCTGCCACCTCATGGTGTACCCAGAGATGTGGAACCTTGTGCCGCCATTGCTGAGAAGCATGGTCTGCTCTATTTATCGGCTCCTGGGTACAGGGAACTGTGGCCCGCTCTGTGTACACCCATTCCTTTCTGGGAAATGGAGCCCCTCAGTGTCTTCAGATGAAATAAAGAGTGGTCCTGCCCTAGCCAGTTTGGCTCAGTTGTTAGAGTGTCAGCGGGCAGACTGAAGGGTCCCAGGTTCAATTCTGGCCAAGGGCATGTACCTCGGTTGCAGGCTCTATCCTGGCCCCAGTTGGGGCAGGAAGCAACCAATCAATGTGTCTCTCCTGCATTGATGACCTCCCGTGGCCCATGTTCCACTCTCTCTGAGAAGCAATGGAAAAAATATCCAAAAAATATATTAAAAATATCCTCGGGTGAAGATTTTTTTAAAAAAGAGTGGTCTTCACAGCTCCATCTGTGCCCCCATTGAATGCTGGGAACGTGGTCCCCTCAGCACACCTCACCTGCAAAGGTGAGGACCTCTTATAGTTTCATTGCATGTCATCCCCTCAGGCCAACTGCCTCTCCCCAGTGCTTATAAACCACAGGCACATGCCTAGGGAGTAAGTCCACTTGCTCTTCTCATTGCATTACTGGAAGATTTGTCAAAGGCTGATTCTGTGCCAGGGATGTTTTAGATTCTGGAGAATATAGTTATAAAAGGAAATATATGTATATTCCCTGCTCGTAGAGCTTGCATTCTAATGGAGAGACAAGAAAACAAATAACATAATAAAATCTCCTAGAGGAAAGCAACAGGATGTTGTAATGACTGAGATGGGGTTTCAATAGATAGCAGTCTGGGGAGGCCTCCCTGAGATGGGGACAACTGAGCTGAACCTGAGGAATGAGGAAGGGTTGGTCCACAGGGAGGAGCTGGGGAAAAGTGCCCCCAGGAGAGGTAACAACTAATCTGAATAGCCATACGTAGCTAGTGGCTACCATATTGGAAAGCCCCTGAGGTCAAAAGGAACTTGATGTGTTTTGAGAAAGAGCCAAGAGGTGGGGGTGGTGGGAAATGAGGTCAGAGAGGCAATGGGGTCCAGTTTATGCAGGACCTTGTAGGCCACAGAGACAACTTTGGCTTTGACTCTAAGATAGAATCATTGGAAGGTTTTCAACCAAGAAGGGAAGCGATCCAATTAATATTTTGAAAAGATCACTCTGGGTGCTGTCTGGAGAATGGACTGGGAGATCCAAGAATGGAAGCAGAAACGGGTTAGGAAGCTGCGGTCATTATCTAGGCAATAGAGTGGTGACAGTGGGTTGTGACAGGGGCAGTAATGAGGAGTGGACTACTGAGATTATGTATTAAACAGAGAGCCAAGAAGACTTGGAGATGGCCTGGATGGGGGTGTGAGGGAAAAAGAGGGAAAGGATGATTTAGCTTTCAAACCTGATGAGTTAGGAAAAGGCAGGGAACGGGTTTGAGGTGAGGGGAAGATCAAGAATTGTGTTTTTGACATGTAAATTTTGAGATGCTTCTTGGAGCTCCAAGGGGAGATGTTGAGTAGAAAGTTTTGTCCAGAGCTCACAGGAGAGGTGGCGACTGAAGACAGGGGTCATCAACACCTCCAGCACTGTCCAATAGGACTTTCTGCAATGAAGATGGCCTACATCTGCTCTGTCCAAAATGATAGCCACTAGCCATGCTTGGGTGCTGGGCTTGTGACATGTGGCTAGTGCAACAGGGAACTAAATTTTAGTTCGTTAAAATTCGAATAGCCATAGGTGGCTAGTGGTTACCATATTGGATAGCATGGGAGACAGCACTATGGGATCTGGATAAGATCACCAGGGAGAGAGGACAGGGGAGAAAAGAGGAGACTAGGGCAAACCTACATGTAGAATCCTGACTGAGAAAGTCCAGCAAAGGAAACAGAGAAGGAGGGGACAGGAAGATAGAAGGAAAACTAGAGAAGGGCAAGTCCACTCAGCAAAGCTGCTTCCAGTTGGGACAGATAGTGCTTCCAAGCACCCTCACTGCATGCTGGGAGATATAGTCCCTCTCCGTGGATGCTGGGAACTGTAGTTCCCTTACTGGATACTGGCGTATTCATTATGGCAACATTACTCCTCTAACAGATAAATCGCTACATCTCAGTGGCTCACCCAGGTAAAAGGTATTTCTTACTCATAAAATCCAAACTGGTGTTTCTGACTGGAGGTAGCACGCCTCCAAGTGGTGACCCAGGGACTCGGGCTCTTCCCTCTTGTGTCTCTATAATCCCCTAGGACTTCAGAGTTCTCTTCTGAGTCCTCTGCATCTGCCCTCAGGGAAGAAAGTAAGGTGCATAGGGGAGAGTTTTAATGGATGAACCGGGAACTCAGTTATGCGGCTAAACCTAACCCAGGTCTAGCTCTGAGCCCCAGCAGGAAAAGGGGGCAGGTTTGAACAGCTAGTCAATCTGTCAGATTGAGAGCCATGGCCCACCGGTGGTGGCTGGGAGCTGTGGTCCCTTTATCAACTTCTGGGAGATGAGGTCCCCTCTTGACCACTGGGAGCTATGACCCCCTTGTTGGTTGCCAAAGGCCCCTATTGACTCCTGGGAGCTGCGATCTCCACATCAGGATGCCTGACACCCTCCTCCTCCCCACAGGAGAAGGGCTCCACCTTCCTGCAGCTGGGCTCATCCACAGAGCAGCAGCTTCAGGTCATCTTTGAGGTGCTGGAGGAGTATGACTGGACGTCCTTTGTAGCCGTGACCACACGTGCCCCTGGCCACCGGGCCTTCCTATCCTACATCGAGGTGCTGACTGATGGCAGTCTGGTGGGCTGGGAGCACCGCGGAGCTCTGACACTGGACCCTGGGGCGGGGGAGGCCGTGCTGAGTGCCCAGCTTCGCAGCCTCAGCGCACAGATCCGTCTGCTCTTCTGTGCCCGCGAGGAGGCCGAGCCTGTGTTCCGGGCAGCCGAGGAAGCTGGCCTCACTGGGCCTGGCTACGTCTGGTTCATGGTGGGGCCCCAGCTAGCTGGAGGCGGGGGCTCAGGCACCCCTGGAGAGCCCCTTCTTCTGCCAGGAGGCGCCCCGCTGCCTGCTGGGCTGTTTGCAGTGCGCTCTGCTGGCTGGCGGGATGACCTGGCCCGGCGTGTGGCAGCTGGCGTGGCTGTAGTGGCCAGAGGTGCCCAGGCCCTGCTGCGTGACTATGGCTTCCTGCCTGAGCTTGGTCATGATTGTCGTGCCCAGAACCGCACCCACCGAGGGGAGAGTCTGCATAGGTGAGTGGAATTGAGCTGGGAGGGGTGTGGGAAGACTCCAGAGCCTGACTACATAAGATACTCACTGCCTGAGTGTCCTCAAATGGGTCATGTCCCCTCTCAGAGCTTCAGTTTCCTTTTCTGTAAAATGGGTATAATAGGGTCTCCTTTTTGGGTTTCAATCAGGTAATTTGGAAGAAGCACCCAAGACACAGTGATTATAAGATGCACATTTTTTCACAGTTTAATGTCTTTGAAATCAATGTGTCTCACAATTGATGTCTTATCATGGCTTAACTGGAAGCGCTCTTTTCTTTCTTCAAGGTACATAGAAATAATGATACATCTTCTAGTTGATAGCATCTTAGGAAATACCCTAGTTAGAGTTTGAGCTGAATTTCAGTAACAGAAAGACTCAACAATCCAATTGTCCGAACAAGGTAGAAGTTTGTTCCTCTATCACGTAATAGTCGGGAGAGGTGAGGTCCAGGTTATCAGGAGACTCTGTTGCTCCATATGACCATTCAAGGACCCAGGCCCCTCCCACCTTGTTGCTCTGCCATCTCCTTTCCCCATAGTCAAAGCTGGGTCATGGGCAAATCTGAATTCTAGCTCATGTGAAGGGGGAAAGAGAGGAAGTGGGGAACAAGCAATTTCCTTTTGGGCAAGTTAGGTGGAAGGGACAGGTCTAATATCCCATCCCATTAGTGAGAATGTAGTCTCGTGGCCAGGGCTGGCTTATTGACTGTTTACAGTCATGTTCATGCAGAATGGTAGACGTAGGTTCTGATTGGCTAGTGCCTCTGCCCTACTGATGGTTTGATGTTTTGAATGTGGCCCCTGCGTGTGCCCTGGGCTGGCTGCCAGGAAGACTGGGGAATGCCGACTCTAGCTGGGCAGCTGTGCGCCCAGCGGACACGCTATTATTTCAGAAAAGGAGAACAGGCTGGTGGAAAACAGCATCTCCACCATAGGAAGCTTTTTGAGTGGGGAAATTGATAGGCTGGGTGACAGAACAGTGGAAGGAGAGGCCTGGGTCCTGAAATGAGCTTAGGAAGAGGTGATAGGTGGGAAAGCAAACCTAGGAGAGGAGAATTGAGAACTGGTGAGTTGGGAATCAGGATGCAGGGACAAGAGAGTGAGAAAAACATCCCTCGTTCATAAATACTTACTGAGTTCAGCCTGCTAGGAACTAGGGCTCATGCTGGGCGCTGGGAACACAGATGAAAAAAGCCATGGACTTCTCTTCAAAGAACGCAGGGTCCTGTAGGGGCGGCAGACATGGACAGGATAATGACAACACAGCGTGACGCTTGCAATAATGGAGGTTAAATGGGCATCGGGGGAGCACCGGGGAGAGTACTGTCTAAACCAGTACTTTTTTGGTTGCAAGAAGCAGAGTCTCATTCAAGTTTCCTCCGGGAAAAGGGGGTTTATTGGAAAGATAAACACGCACAGAAACCCAGATGTGGCCAAGACACCCCCCAGGCCCCTTACTTGCCACTCCAGAACACTGTCCAGTTCCTTTCTTACTACCACTTACTCAGGATTCTGCTTCCTCCTAACACTCATAAGTTTACTCATCCTGTCCACACCCATCCCTCCAAATGCCACAGTCAACATCCTCCCAAGAGAGGAATTTAATTGGTCCCAATCAGCCTTCCAAACTAGGCTATGCAAGTCACAGGTAGCCTATGAAGACAGGGAGGTTTCCAGGAGACCTGAAGGATGAATTGCTCGTTTATTCAGTCGTTCACTGAAAGGCCCTTTTTTTGAGAGTCTACTATATGCCAAGCACTGCTTTAGGCACGAGGGTATATAATTTGAACAAGGCCCCTGCTCTCACAGAGCTTACAATCTCATAGGGGACAAACAAGAAACAGAAGGAGAAAATACCAGCAGGTGATAACTTCTGAGATGAAAATCAGACTGGTGGAATGTGACAAGAGATGTCTAGGTTAGGTGAGGTCATCAGGAAAGGTCTTTCTGAATAGGTGAAATTTGGAGGTAAAAAAAATAAAGAGAAGGAGCCAACTATTGGAAGATCTGAGTGAAGAGAGGGAGGAGGAACAGCAGGTGCAAAGGCCCTGGGGCTGGAATTGCCTGCTTGGAAGCCTGAAAGAAAGCCAGTGTGAAAAAGAAAAGAAGAAAAAACAATACTAAAAATTAAAGTTAAAAATAAATTTTAAAATGAGACAGGAAAAAAAAGAGCCAGTGTGGCTGGAGCTTAATGGGCAAGGGGGAGGGACTATGACTAGGGGATGGAGAAACACATGGGGCTCAGCTCATATAGGGCTTTTAGGCCAGGTTAAGTGGTTTGGATTTGATTCTAAGAGTGGTTGGCAGTTCACCAGAGAGAGTATTCCAGGCAGGGGAACAGCATTGTGCAAAGGCCAGAGGGGAGAAAAACTGGGGCAGGTTGGTGATACACAATAGCTCAGGGTGGATGAAGGCAGGAGGATTATGGTTTGGGGGTGATGAGGCTGTGGAGGTAGACAGGGCCAAGCCACAGGGGCCTTGAACACAAGGTTGAGAGTCTTGGCATTGTTCTGGGGCACTGGGGAGCCATGGGTGGGTTATGAGCAGGGGAGAGGTAGAGTCAGTTTTGGGTATAGAAAGGCCCCTCTGGGACAGGGTGGGGAACAGACTGAAGGAGAGAGATTGGAGGCTGGAGGCCAGGCAGGAGGCTGGGGTGGGGGTTCAGGAGGGCTATGGGAATGGAGAGGAGGGGGTGGGACAGAGAGATCCAGGGGCAGGAAGAGTGGCACTTGGGGACCGACGGCCTGGGCAGGGGGAGTGAGGGATCTGCTGAGGATCTGGCCCAGTGACCCAGGCAATGTGACAGGCCTTCAGGGTATAGGGTGCCATTGCATAGTGAGAATATCTGGGGGTTCAGAGGCCCTCGGGGGCTTCTTCCTAGAGGAAGGGACATTTGAGCTGAGTCTTGAAGACATAAGAAATGATCAGGATGAGAAGGGACAGAATAAATGTTTTCCAGGCAGAGAGCAGCACTTGCAAAGGCCTAGAGACAGGAAACCACTAGATATGTTTGGGGACATTCAGTGTTAGGCACAAAGTAGGTTTGGGATGGAAAGAATCAGAAGATGGGAAGCAATTAGAGATGGTAGGGCCAGGACACTCAGGGTCTCCACCACCTCAAACCCAGGCCGAGGGTCTAGGACCTGGG